CACAAAATCAATGTCCAGCACAAGACAATAGTATTGTAAAAGCATACAAACACGGCCTGCACACAGAAATTAAAGGTAAGTAACATAACGACACCACCTTTCACCTAATGCCTTTATATTACCCATGCTTATATGTTCAAGTAAAAACGCTTTTCCAACAAGACACAAATACAAATACAGACACAAATAAAATAAACAATATGCAATAAAATAAAAGGGGGTAAAATATAAATAAATACAATAAATGATAACTAGGAGAGCGTCATTACAAAAACACATAAACATAGCCTAAAACTCAAACCACATGAAAGTGTCGCGCTGTATAAAATAAATATTATAAAAACATAATATAGTACCCAAAAGTCATTATCGAGTATTCAAATTAAAGCGCTTAGGTAAGCAGGTTTAACCCTAAGTCTCCAATCCGAATCCATCAAAATGCTAATCGGTACTATTACCTTACCATGATATTACCTAATGGTAATATCAAATTATGTGATAATAATAATAATAGCAATAATAATAATAATAGCATTTTATAAACCTTACCCAAGTAATACCAATATGATAATAATAATATAATTGTTAAAAGCTTTAGCCTGAGTACAAACGCAAAGATTTAAAATAAATAAATACCTTAATACCGAGATGATACACTGAGTTTCATAAACCATAAAATACATTTCAGTTAAATAAAAGTTATACAAAAGGAAACAACAAAATCAAGGCCAGTGTAACTCAAAATAAAAACAATACAAAATATTAATATTTAAGGTAAATGTAATTAATTCAGTGTATATGGTGAATGCGACAACATAAAGATTGAAACTCAGTGTATGCCCGATATCAAGATATTAAACCAAAATAATGAAATAGTGATACAATAAAAATCATTACCAAAAATCACTCGCTATTTACACATATTAAAATGATTAGGACCCAATACACTAGCAATCCCTATTGAAAATGCCATATAGAACCATATAAAAAACACGTATCTGGATTCTATATGGTTTCTATCTGGTTCAATATAGGTATTTGAAACAGGCATTTCACTATAGAACCAGATAGAAGATTACATTATAGAACCAGATAAAAACACTCTAAAACACTATAGAACCAGATAGGGAAACCTATCTGGAAATACATATAGAACAGAAACCAGATAAATCCATATACATCCATATACATGTCTTTATAAAGACATGTATATTAGGGTGGAGTGAATTTTTTTAAATTTATTAATTGATTTTTCCTATATTATTAATGGTTGACCAAAGGCGTAAAATGAATAAATATCGAAAAAATATTCCAATTTTTTAATATCTTGAGGTGGCGCATCAGTCTCGAAGTTTTGAAAATTCTAAAAAAATATTACTTCAATCAAAGTAATAAAAATAGCATTATTTATAAATAAAAAGTTTATTTTAGTAAAATTAATGTGAAACGTAAACATATTTAATAGTAAATCATATGCTTTAAGTAACTTCAGGAGTGTTTATTGATAGAAATGAGGTCTTCTTTTTCGCGAAAATACTGACATTTGGTATCAAAATTTGGTAATCATTTTCTGACTTTAATTCTTGTTCTAATGAAACCATCTCTTGCTTCCGATTTACAAACCGAGACTAAAGATTCAGTATACTGGTTATAACCAGTTTTACACAGCGTTCCACTGCTTGGGTGTGACACGGAAATTTTTGGAAGTATAGGAAATGGTCACCCGAAAAAATCATATCGGTAATTTCTGTCATCGTATTTCATAGTCATAGGTGGTTCAGTCACCTTTTCTGTCGCCCAGTGAATTAACTCGTACAAATGTAATGCTTCAGTATTTAGTTGTGGAAGCTTTAATTCCCGTAATATCGAACATTTTGATTCTTTTCTCGCCTTTAATATTTTCGGCAATGCTAGTTCTCTGATCGATAGATATATTGTAGGTAACATAGCAAGTAATAGGTTTTCGGGATAAATATTAGCTATAGCTAACAAAGATCCAGGAAAGATAGCTGAATATTCTTTATAACTATAGTTATAAGGCCTTCAAGTTTTTCTGGAGGTGCAATGCTCTTTTAGTCATATTAAATATGTGAATAGGACCATGTTTGCACGTAGGCTTGGTGTTGATGTAAAACCACGTTGGGGCATACACTTTCATGATAAAAGTAGCCAATTCTTTTAGGTTTTCCGATGGATTTGCTGTCCCCACATATAAACGAATAATCCTATTAGCACACGCCAGCCATAGGGAATGTGCTATCTTTCCTGGATCTTTGTTAGCTATAGCTAATATTTATCCCGAAAACCTATTACTTGCTATGTTACCTACAATATATCTATCGATCAGAGAACTAGCATTGCCTAAAATATTAAAGGCGAGAAAAGAATCAAAATGTTCGATATTACGGGAATTAAATCTTCCCCAACTAAATACTGAAGCATTACATTTGTACGAGTTAATTCACTGGGCGACAGAAAAGGTGACTGAACCACCTATGACTATAAAATACGATGACAGAAATTACCGATATGATTTCTTTGGGTGACCATTTCCTATACTTCCAAAAATTTTCGTGTCACACCCAAGCAGTGGAACGCTGTGTAAAACTGGTTATAACCAGTATACTGAATCTTCAGTCTCGGTTTGTGGATCGGAAGCAAGAGATGGTTTCATCAGAACAATAATTAAAGTCAGAAAATAATTACCAAATTTTGAAACCAAATGTCAGTATTTTCGCGAAAAAGAAGATCTCATTTCTACCAATAAACACTCCTGAAGTTACTTAAAGCTTATGATTTACTATTAAATATGTTTACGTTTCACGTTAATTTTACTAAAATAAACTTTTTATTTATAAATAATGCTATTTTTATTACTTTGATTGAAGTAATATTTTTTTAGAATTTTCAAAACTTCGAGACAGATGCGCCACCTCAAGATATTAAAAAATTGGAATATTTTTTCGATATTTATTCATTTTACGCCTTTAGTCAACAATTAATAATATAGGAAAAATCAATTAATAAATTTAAAAAAATTCACTCCACCCTAATGTATATGGTTGTATATGGATTTATCTGGTTTCTGTTCTATATGTATTTCCAGATAGGTTTCCCTATATGGTTTAATATGAAAATTTTTAAAATGGAAATCCATATTCAACCATATAGAATCCGTAATGTAAACCAGGACTTTCCATATAGGACCTATAAAACCATATAGAACCAGATACGTTTCCTTATCGGATTCAATATGGGTTCTATATGGCATTTTCAATAGGGATGATAAACGTCATAGACAAAAATGCGAATTAAATAATATTGTTCAAAATTATAAGCAAAAATGTATTAAGAAAACCAAAACGAGGAGTTGTTTATCATTACTAGCAAATATTACAATTTAAAAAAGTATAAAACTATAACTATATTATAATATATTTCACAAACGGTTTAACAGGAGTATCTCGAAGGGCGAGCAAAAACCCTCTGTGTGTATTCTATTTCCTAATCTAGCTTTTAAACATCTCGGCCACTTAAGCAAGAATGTCTAACATAAACAGTCTTCATAATATTTCTACGTTGAGATACAAAGAAGTGAAACTTTAAAACTCAATAGGGTTTTAAAACATAAAATATCTTAAAACTATATTATTTTTAGTGGATTATTTAAATTTTCTTTGGTTAAAATAGCGCCAAATTCGAATTTAAAAGTTTATATACTACAGGACCCTTACAGTGTATAGGATGACGCCACGTTTGAATATGGTTTTCTAAATCTCCCCACGGTATAGATTTGTATTCGTCAGTCGAGAGTTTCAATACTCTCCACAGTATAGAGGTCGTAATTTCCCTTTTGAACTAGTATTAATATAAAAATTATTTTATGCTTAAAAAAAACTATATACGACATTATTGTGATTTTTTTTATTTTATTAATTAATTAAGCTGTGTTAAATATTTTTCCTAAAGGAATAATTGCCAATGGGCCATTAATTCATTTGTTCGTATCTATATATAGATGCTACAATAACCTGCACTGGTGTGTACTTTTTGATCAACCAGATTTAAATATATACCAACAGACCTCATTACTAAATTATTAAAGTTTAATACTTAGCATATCGATCATTTTTTCAACATAACCTCTGAAATTTTTAATAGAAATATAGGTACTTTATATAATACATAAATATACCTAACATCATATTCTCTGTGCTTTACATACCTGAGTTGTTACGGTAAATAAAAATCAGACAAAGGAACCAAAGAAAGGAACTATTTTCAACAAAATCATATGCAGAAATGAGAAAATTCAAACTACTTGCATCCATCAAAAGATCAAAACTTCTTGCAATATTACACCCTCTTTTTATACTCTCAGAAATATTGACTAGAACAGTATTAGAGAGACTCCAGTTTCTATAACATATGTTACCATATGGTAGGGTAAAGAGAAGTCGAAACCGTTGCGATATTGCATTGCGCTGTTTTTATATAATTCTCGGGGACCTTAACGAAAATCATTGCCAGTAAAATTCGAAAAGCTTGAGTTTCTATGTCTCTGAAGAGAATAGGTATCCGAAGTTGCTGCACCATTGGACTGAACCCTTTTTTAATAATTTCTAGAGACATAAATGACTGCACCATTCGACAGGGTCGAGTTTCTACCTCTCTGTTGAATATAGAAAATCAAAACAATGTATCTTGTAAGACACCATTGAGTTTGACTTTAAATATAGTCGTGCATAGGTATAGACCCGAAAAATATAAAAACAAAGCACGATTCAATACAGTTCTGATAAAACTTTAAGATTTAATATTCAAACGCGGAGTCATCCTATACAGTTCTATATTTTTCCGTTTGCTGTGTAGTTACTACACTGTAGTACACCACCGAGGGCGGTCAAGGAATAAACCAATACCAGCCAAGATGTTTATACATCCTTTGTGAGTTAAATTAGCACTTTTATTAAAATATAAAAATATATTGGCGTTTCTACCTTCTCCTTCGCTTAGACTGTCTCTGGGTATTCTTCTTCGCGGGTTGTACCATAGGTAGCCACGCTTACGGTCGGACGCATAGGGCCCATTCTCTTCCATCACAACTCTAAACTCGACGATTTCCCCAACGTCTACTGAGCGGACAGCTTTTTTCGGATTGTTCTTTATGATGGCCGACTAGAAATAAGAAACAAAACATTATAAATGTAACATCCAAAATATTATCAATTCAATGATATTTTCTATCAAAGTGTTTTAAAACATGTGTCTGAAAATAAAGGATTCTTTGGATAATTCTAAGAAAAAAACTTTTGCACCTAATTTGGAATGTTTTGGGACATCCATTGAGGATTTAAATTGTTTAATAATGCCAGTTCCTAACAAAATTTTAATTAATTTAAAACAAATTTTAACACCAAATAAAACGTTTTCTTATTCTAGATAAAACATATGTACTTCCTGAAACATGTTTTTTATTTTTATTAAACTGAACATTTGAAATGGAATATGTTGTTAATTATTATTATTCAACCTAATACCTACCTGAAATTTAAGTAACGTTACTACCTAGAACCTATTAATAAAATCAATTAATCAATTAAATCAAATTAAGATGTTTGTTTAATAAAAATATGGATTAAGAGATTTAAATAAAGTATTTAATAGGTTTAAGTAACAGGTTATTAAAATTTAGTGAACCTTTTTTCCGATTTTTGACCACAAACTCGGTCTTTTATTCGCTACATCTATTTCGTTATCGCGGCGCACAACATGCGTTTGAGGTTATCTGATTTGCCAGAGATAAAGAAGGTTATTTGCCTTGCTTGCATAGACCAGTCCAACCTGATTAGAAAGAGTGCATAGGTATAATAGTAAATATTATAATAATAATAAATGTATTCCATGAAATTTGTGTATTTTTATGGTGGGTGAAGTTTAAATTTGCACAGTGACTAGAGGCACGCTAACGTACCGCGATTGAAAATGTTAAAGGCACGTTAGTTACGTCATAATTATAATCCGTTTTTGTTCCCCGAGCGTTTAATATTTGACATCAAGCTAGATAGCTCATATTGCCCTAGGGCGGTCGCTTGGCATGCGAGAAGTCCCGGGTTCGATACTAAGAAGTTGTCGAACTTTTTTTATTTCATAAATTTGTTGTTTCTTTGTTAAACAGTGTTCGGTTGGGTTGGGTTGGGTTGGTTGGTTTGTTTTAGTTTTATCGTAACATAAAATCTACTAGAAGTTGTCGAACTTTTTTTATTTCATAAATTTGTTGTTCCTTTGTTAAAAAGTGTTTGCCCATTTTAGTTGGGTTTTTTGCTCAATGGGGTGGGGGGGGCCAATGGGGCGGTTGGGTCGGTTGGGTTGTGTTGTTGAGTTTGGGATGGTATGGGTTTATGACGTAACTAACGTGCCTTTAACATTTCGAATCGCGGCACGTTAGCGTGCCTCTAGTCACAGCGTTAAATATGTTTAAAAATTGCTGGAAGATTGAGGGTTAAAAGAGTTTAAGGAAATTTTCATTCGGAAGTAAAGCCTGGTTCTAACAGAAAAGTAATTTAATTTAAGATGTAATTTAATTTAACTTAAAAGTTAAAAACCCAACAATCCTTTGTAACGTTCATACAGTGATGTAATTTAAAACTTAATTTAATAGTTGGCCAACTTTTATCTTTTAAATTAAATTACGTTATTTCAAGGTTATTTCGTATTATCTAACCTATTTTGGGAGAATCTAACCTATTTTGTGTAAACGGTTTTAATAATAAGACAAATATTTCGATTGTAATTAACAAAGTAAGCCATATATATCTAAAACTTTAAGTTTTATATACATTAAGTAAGCACTCTCTTTAAAATATTGTTTTTAATTTCAAACACTATTAAATTACGTTACTTTTTGTATGAACGCAAGTAAATTAAATTAAGGTAAGGTGGGGTAATTGCGATATGTTTTTGTACTAGTTGGCATTGTCTCTTAAATTAAAAGTAAGGAGTGATAAAACTAAACCAAACTCAAAGGTCATTATATAGCCCAACTACTCAAGAATTATATTCTAAAGTATAAAACGTTAGGAACTAAGGTCTAAAAAATTAAATCTTTTTTTTTAAACGTTCCTAACATATTGCATTTGCCCCGAAAAATGGGGCAAATGTGTTAGCGGCTAATTACATTACACTATTAATGTATTTGTAGTGGGTATGGGGCAAATGTAAAAGAGGAAAAAAATAGGATTATTTTGGTGTAAAATCGTGTGAATCCGTTAATAATCATAAGGTGTGCAAACTTTTTTTTATTTTTAATTTAAGAATTAACAGACTACGCGGTTAATACAAAAAGGAAAAAACGATTTATTATTATGTACTTAAGTAACCAAGTGGTACTGCGCAGTAGTTGTCGGGATTTCTCTACTTAGATATGCAACCCAAAACAACAGCGTGCGTTTTTATTCGTTTGCTTTTATTTCTACTTCAAGTAAGAATTTTATCGCAAGATGTTACATTTACCCCAATCTTACAATTTCCCCACCTTACCTTACTTTTAAAGTTAAATTAAATTAAGTATATTACGTTATTTCTCTGTTAGAACCCAGCTTAAGTTGTTAATAAACCTTATTTTCTTAATATTTTAGATTAAATATACTCAATTAGAACACCAACTAATTCTATAGAAACAACGGTTTCTAACAGCACTTTAACAACATATTCCGATAGTTTAGTATTAAGCCCAGTAGAGAAATTTTCTAGCTTCCTTAATGAAATAATTTCATTGAAATTACATCGCAGCCATTGATTCAACAATCTTCACTCTACACTCTTCTCGCAACTTCAAGCACCTCAAAAACCGACTTCATTAGCTCATATACAACCAAAAAAATCACATTCAAAGGTTTAATTAGGTTAAATTTTTAAAATATTATGTATTATAGTTAGTTTAGGTTTTAAAGTAGGTAATAATATTTTTTATTTAATGTTTTATATAAATGTTGATATGTTATTATTAACTGGGTCGATTTGCTTAGTTTTTCATGTACCTAATAAACTTTTTATTTTTATTAAATAAACTTTTTTATTTAACCTTAATTTTAGTTACTAAAATATTCATTAACTAATTGATTAATTGTGGAGCAAACATGCAAAAACCGATAAGTCCATTTTTACATTTTAAGAGTATTCATACTAATTTTGGTAAACTCTTTTAACAGCACAGCATATGCATGCAACAGTAACAATTTATGTTTAAAAATATTGATTTAAAAAGTTTTTTTTATAATATTTTATTCAACAAAATTATTGGTTTAAATTTTAAAAGAGTCATTTAAATGATAGTTGATAAATTTTTAATACAAAAATTCTCACATTACAGTTAAATGTAAGTTTTAAATTTTAAAGTAGTAATTTTTGGATTAAAAATTTATCGACAATCATTTAAATGACTCTTTACAAATTTAAACCAATTTTTTTATTTTTAACAATTTTAAAGTGATATATTTTTAAGACAAATTTTATAACTTTACATTTAATGTAAGTCGATAATTTTTAAATTACAAAGTGTAAATGTAGCTTTTGTAGAAGGCACAAGAGTCTGGGATCTGAGCCAGTGTTCCCAACTGCAGGGAATTTTCCCTTTTTAGGGAATTTTGGTACCAAAAAGGGAAAAGGGAATTTTTTAGTAAAAATCGTTAAATTAGGGAATTTTGACCCAAAATAAAAAGAAGTTTGATAACGCAGCCCAAATGTTGTGGTTAGAAGAAGAAGAAGAACTAACTATATGTCAATTAAATTAAATAAATTTCATGTTTACCTTTATATTTTAATAATTTAATTGTTAGATGAGGCGTATACTGCAAAAGCGGCCCAACTAAAAAAAAATATTTTGTGTTTTTATCTCGAAATATTTCTATAATGCACTTACCGAGTGAGCTAGCCTAATAAAGTGTGTTTTAATATGAAGAGTATACTCTTCTATAGTTACTACTCTGTATATTAAAATACACTCTATTAGTTCACTCGTTAAGCGCATAATAGGAATATTTTAAGATAAAAACACAAAATGATTTTTTTTTCAGTTAGGCCGATATTGCAGTAAACATAATAAAATTTATTTTAAAAGTTGTATTTTTGATATGAAGTCATTTTTCTTGGCAACATTGAATGCAGGGAATTTTGGCACGAAATAGGGAATTTTTGCCATGCAACAAGGGAATTATTACACTGAAAGGTTGGGAACACTGATCGGAGCCACGATGCAGCCAGTTTGATCCGCAGTGTTACAAAATCGTGTTGCTCCATAAATATTTGACGCGTTTTAGAAATTATCGTATTGAAATGTTTGAAAAACAACATTTTTAGTGCCTATTGTACTAAGATAATTTGACAATTAAAAAACATTTTTTCTAATTTTTAAGAGAACAATGTTTAAAATGTAGTGCCACAATATGGAAGCAACATACAAATTCCCGCTTTCCGGCTTTTGTGGTGAGGTTAAGTGTTAAGCCTGATTTATAGATTGCCTTCCTTCCTTCCTCCCGTAGAAGATGAACAATACAATCCCGTACGGAAATCTATAAACGGCACTGGGAATTTGTTTGATGCATCCACGTAATATTGTGGCACCACATTTTAAAATTTTTTCTCTTAAAAATTAGAAAAAAATGTTTTTTAATTGTCGAATTAACTTAGTACCTACAATAGGCACTAAAATGTTGTTGTTCTATTATTAAATTTATGTAATAAAGAAACATTTTATTACGATAAATTGTAAAACGCGTCAAATATTTATGGAGCAAGCACGATTTGGCAACACTGCGGATCAAACTGGCTGCATCGTGGCTCCGATCCCAGACTCTTGTGCCTTTTACTAAAGCTACGTTTACACTTTGTAATTTAAAAATTATCGACTTACATTTAAATGTAAAGTTTTAAATTTTGTCTTAAAAATGTAAAAATGTATCAGTTAAAAATTAAAGTTATTGGTTATTTGTAAAGAGTCATTAAAATGATTGTCGATAAAAGTTTAATGCAAAAATTACCACATTAAAATTTAAAACTAACATTTAAATGTAATGTTGAAACTTTTGTATTGAAAATTTATCGACTATCATTTAAACGACTCTTTACAAATTCAAACCAAAAATTTTGAATAATAAAATATTAAAATTACATTTTTTAAA